CCAACCACCAGGCCGCGCACGATAGCAGCTAAGGCGCGGATGGGGCCCCTCCAGCCATATTTCTGCTTATCATCAAGAATTGTCTCCCCTCTTTTCCTTCGCACCTTCACACTCACTCTGTTGCTGCTGTTCCGTGCGGCCAGAAGAAGCATCATGACTTATACTCCCACGGTGGGAGGCAAAGTATGGGGCCAGAAATGGCGCTCCTCGCCCTTGTTCATCGTGGGTGCCATGGCCATCGCGTTGTTCACGGGTACGCACGCCATAAGAGAAAAATTTGACAGCAATCGAAATTATGAAGAGCTGACGGTTACTTTCGCCAAATTCTAGACACTTTTCTCTATACTTTCCTCGTGCCAATTCTTCCCTACGTACTTGAGAATCGCCTGGGGCTGGACGTCGCATTGACGCAGCGCATGAGTTTTGCCTTGTTGTCCGAAAGTGCGGTAGCGTCCCTGGTTACGAGTCCTTTTATCGGTCACTACGCGGATGGGCTATCCTCTAAGAGAGCGCTGTTGGTTGGGTCTCTGGTGGCGGCTCTGATTGGATCGATAATCTTGGCGATGGCGACTACGAGTGAGTGACCCTTACGACAAGGTCACTGTCGGATGAAGGCGACAGGAAATTTGTTGTTGAGATGCGGGGTTGTGCTGACGCCTAGGCAAACAGCTTTCACGCTTTTCGCCGGTCGTCTCGTCCAGGCGATTGCGAGCTCCTTTATCTGGGTCGTAGGATACGCCACTATCGCAGATAACGTTCGACCGGAGCATCTGGGTAAAACCTACGGTGTCATTTCCTTGATCGTTGCAGCGGGTACCTCGGGTGGACCCATGGTAGCGGGCATACTCTTCGAGCTGGGAGGCTACTGGGTCGCATGGTCGAGCGCCTTCGCGATCCTGATCGTAGACATTGTTCTGCGATTCCTCATGCTGGAGAAGTCAAAAGAGAAAAAGGGTAGGTGGCGTCTGAGCTCGCGCCCGAACCTCCACTAATCCTGTACCAGAAGAAATAACGCAGCCTCCGCACAACAGCGCCTCGATAGACCCGGAGAATGCACCGCTTTTGGGGAGAGATAATAATGTAAACGTACCGAATTTGGCGGGCTGGAGATTCTATGTCTTTGTCCTGCAGCACCGCCGATTCCTGGCTGGCGTAGTCAGCTATTTCTCCTTCGCAATCCTGATCTCGAGCTTCGACACCACCCTTCCGCTCCATGTTCGCGACGTGTTCAACTGGGGCAGTTTTCCCGCGGGGATGATGTTCTTCGCCCTACAGGGTCCTGGGATCATTCTTAGCCCGTTTTGTGGCTGGCTGAAAGACCGGGTTGGTACGAGGTGGCCGACGACGGCGGGGTTTCTTCTCCTTGCACCGATCATGTGGGTGATTGGTATGCCGGGCGACGACCGCTTCCCTTGGGTCAATGAAGGCGACCGAGGAAAAGTGATCTATACGATCTGCGTCACCCTAATAGGGTCCGTTTCATGTCTGATGAATGGGGCGGCAACCATTGAAGCCACAGGTGCGTTGCCTGTATCCCACGGATAGGAGGTTAGTCTAACTGTAACTTCGGCAGTCACTATTGACGAGCTCGAAGTCGAAACACCCGGTATCTTTGGCCCCAACGGAGGCTACTCGCGAGCCCTCTCCATGGCTAGCATGAGCTGGACCCTGGGAGCATTTATTGGGCCCGTGCTTTCGGGGTACCTGGCGGAGCACGTCGGTTACTATGAAATGAGCACTGTGATTGGTGAGTCGATGTTGACTGCTTGGCACTTGCGGAGTGAAGCTGACCTTGGTAGCCGTTGTGTGTGCGGTTTCCGGAGTCAATGCGTTCTGGAACCTTGACTCTCGGGTGCATTTCGACCGCGTGAGGGAGACGCAATAGTGATCCATGTGCTTCCGCATGATTGCTTGAAGTTTCGTCTGCATGGCGTGGAGTGGAACACTTGCATGTGATGCCAAGGACGACAATTATGAGACATGTCATAAAAGTTTTGAGTTTAGACGTATCCTTTGTTTGACAGATGAGAATTTCGGTTTGCCTTTTACTGAAAGGTGGCTTTCGAGGCGTCTAAGGTAGTCTCGACTAAGAATGACTTATTTAGATTGCTCTCCGGACGAAGCCGGACCCTTGAGACACTTGGGGCTCGCTTAAATCAAGGTCGGTCGGCTGTTCTTGCAATCGGTTCGGCTGGCACGGTAGCACAAGTCAGATGTGACATGGCACAATTATCCGAGATCTAGGTATAGGTATGTCTCCGAGGTAGGAAGTACGAAGTACGAAGGCGTCGGCAGTTATTGTCTCCGTGAATATCTCCGTGAGCGAGGCTGTCAGGATACCTCCAGAATCCAGGCTCCTTCCCCCCCCTGCAACCTTAATGTTTGCCGGCTCCGACAGGAAACTTTAGGATGAGTGTCGATCTCTGAATAAAGTTTGATGACAGTCATACTCGATCAGAGGTTCGAGCAAACGTGCATTAGCTCGACACATGGGGCGGAGGAGCTCTGGCGCGTATCTGAGACCGATTGGAGACAATGGGAGTGTTTCGCTAGTTTGGCGATGGGGAATATGGAGCTCATCTCAAAATAGAAACAGTTACCCCGATGTCTGAACGAGTCGGTCAGTCTAATCCTGAGTAAGGCAGTGTGGATGAAGGGGGATGAAGATAGGAGAAAGCTTTGAAGACAATGTTGTTTTGGTTGTTCTGGAAGAGGAGGGACTAAGGCAGCCCAGGAGAAGGCCCCAGGCCCCCTCTTTCCTAAAGCTGCGTGGCGGCCTCGGGACTTCTTCCCATTCGGGACTTTCCTTCTACAGCCACCAATTCCCTTCTAGCACTATATTATCAACTACCTTATGTCGGCATATCTCCTTCGAGGCTTGTCTCTTCGACACAGCGCACACGCTGATCTAGCGCTCTATATTGTCTGAGTATTATCCCATCCGCTTCGTATTCTCAAGATTTCAATAAAGATGGAAACTAAACGGGACGGATCACTTGCCAGGGCTGTTTTGTTTTCCGATGATCGATCGTCAGGGACACGCGGTTCCCCCAACGCTCTGGACCCAAACCTGGGCAGCCTTCCTTGCAGCCACGCAGTGACAGGTTCGATCAAGCTCACTCGTCCCAAAGTTTGTATCTTTCCCGAGACACGAATCGGACCTGTCCAACCACCCCGTCCCTCTTCCCCTTGGCTCATTCCCACGGCCGTTTTTGGGCCACCGGCGAAGGATGTGACAGGTCCACTGCGTCTTGATTGACAGGCTGCGGGGAAAACATCATACTCGCCCTTCAACAAGATTTCTAGATTGCTACTGCTGCAGGCTTGTGCGCTAGTGGCGCTCCCTTCTTACTTTTCTTTGCCCCCTGAGACTCAATTCTTCGACGCCTGTCATGGTCAGCAAGACTTTCGAGCGCCAGGCAGCGCTTTCAATCCGAAGCCACCATACCGCAAGGCTACGTCAGTTATCCGCGGCAGTCTGCTCGACGGTGGGGCACGGAAGGGGCGTGGGGGCCAATTACGACTTTTGACCTCGTTCGCTGCAGTGGTCGCTGGTCACGGACAACTACCGTGAAAATGGAGAACGGAAACGGAGTGCGGACATAGTCTCCTGTGCTATAGTCCCAACTAGCAGTAGTGGATTGAGATGAGGGAGGGGAAGGAGGAGAGGAAGGAGGGGGAGAATACCCATCTTCGCTGGGTCTCGAAGCGGAGTCGAGACCATCCTGATCATTTCGGATTGATGTCGATAACGCAGAATGATGGACACCTCCCGAAGAAAACCACATGGTTGGGGACCACCGTTCATTGTCGTGGAACAGTATCTGCAGTGATGCGCAGAAGAAATCTTAACCGGGATCAAGGGGGCGCGCGACCGCCGACCGGGTCGTTGGACCCGGCCTGGTCGAGGAAGATTGGGCTTGAGGAAGAGCGAGGATTGATCCCGGTCGGAGTTCCATGATGGGATCGGCAGATTTGTCCGGAATGTCTTATTCAGCCCTCGAAGCTGCTGAAAATTCATCAGAGACTCCGTGTGCAGATTGCTGCAGCCAGACGTACAAGGAAAGGGGAAAAAAGACCCCTGCTTAGTCACGACTAGTGTCTTGGCCTCAAACACACTGCATCAAAAAAGAAAACCAAAAATCAACAGGAAGGAGGGGGGCAACGAAGAGCAAGCCCCAGTGCAGCCTGCGTCAATCGAGTCTCTCCTGAATCCTGATCAGATGAACTCGCTTCCCCATCAATGTTAATCTCGAATACTGCCACACGGACCAACTGCTGGGTCACAGAGCCTCGGTCTGACCCAGCCATCGAGCTCCTTTCCATCTTTCTCTTCCGCCCAGCGTCCCAAAGTTTTTTTTTACGAGTACCGAGCGGGCCACAACGGCTACAATGGAATGATCCAGCGTTCTTACCATGGAACTAATAAAGTTCAGTCACTGACAGCTGCTGGCTTCCAACCTATGACGTCTCGGGTTGACTGCTCGTCGGGCAGTCGGGTGGAGCTGCGGATGAAGGCCTGGCGCCGGCGGAAGTCGTAGCTCATCGGGTTTGGGGCAGTCCTAGCCTATGAGGCCTGTGAGGCCTGTGAGGTGTGGATTCCTGCAGACAAATTTTTTCCAATTGCCAAATTTTGGCTGTCTCGAAACTGGATGCCAGGGCCAACTTCCGAACACTCTCCATTTTCCGGCCGAACATGTCCCCTCCTCGACGACTCTCCCAAACCATCGCTGATGCACCGGTCTTATTGGTCTATATATAAATCTTTTGATCTCCTGTGCCTTTTGCCCCTAGGTATCGGTGGCCGATGTATCTCGCCCCCAAAGCTTTTTTACAAAGAATTCTTTCCTTTTATCTGGCTCCTGCCCTTTAATCTCCTCGGTTCTGGATAATCGACTTGCACACCGCACTCCTTATATGACCGCTTTCCCTGCCGCTCTATGTATACTATCTCTCTGCATTGTTGAAGCGCTCTAGGACCTTATCGAAGTTACATCACGATGGATGTCGGATATGAAGCGACCCCGCCGCCTTCCGCGGGGAAGGACTGGGCCAGTTTCTGGAATTACGTCGACAGAGCACCCCCCACCGAAGAGAGCGACCCCGTCCCCCGCGACATCCTCGTTGTTGGCGCCGGCATTGCGGGCATTGCCGCTGCCCTGGCTCTTTCCAAAGAATTGACACCCTTCGTTCCCGACCTCCGTATCACTGTCTATGAACGACACGATATTCTCTCCACCTCCGGTGGTGCCATCAACCTCACTCCTGTCGCCCAGCGGCATCTCGATCGTCTTGGGGTGCTAGCAGAGTTGGACAGGCTTGGACCTGAAGGTGGTACTGACGTGGATGCCATTGAACTGTATTCCAGTCGGTCCGGACGATCCCTCGGTTCGGTTGACTTTGTGGATGAACATGGCAATGGGTTCGGAGGATATAAGGGTCGCCGTGTGATGCGGATTGCTCTCTCGGTAGCCATGTTGACGGTTGTTGAACGATCCAAGAATGTGAACGTTGTGTTCGGCAAGAAGCTGGTCCGGGGGAAGGAAACAAAAGACAAAGCCATGCTTTACTTCCATGACGGAACCACAGCCACAGGGGACTTGGTTCTCGGCTGCGACGGTGTGCACTCGGCGACTCGAATGTACTGGGTTGACCCCGACAGTCCATCCGAGTATACTGGCATCTCCTTCTGTCAGACTCTCGTTGACACCAAAAAGATCAAAGCCCCTGTTCATTTCCGCTCCACATCCATGAACATCTCTCGACATGGTTCGCTACTAGCCAGCTACTGTGACCGGGACCACGAGCAGATTTTTTTGGCCGCTATTGTTCAGTTCCGCGAGGAATTGCTTCCTCACTACCGCATGGACCCTGGTCAGGACTGGCGGCGGACTGCTGCTATCAAGCAAGCTCTGCGCCAAGAGATGCAAGACCGCTTCGGTCGATCCGGAGTGCCTTGTATCCGGGACTTCGTCAACAAGGCGGACGACTGGATGTTGTATCCTGTCTGGCAAGTACGGCCTAATGCCCGGTGGTACCGGGGCCGAGTGATTCTTTTGGGCGATGCAGCTCATGCGGTATGTTGCCATCGTGACGTAACTTGTGATTCGAATACTGATTTGACTAGATGCCTCCCCGTGACGAGTCTGCGGCGTATGCGCTGGATGATGCTATCCTCTTCTCTCGGATTCTCGCCAAGCACCGGTATGATCCCTTGACCGTGGCGTTTAAAGCCTACGAGGATCTGCGTCGGGGCACGGTCAACGCGGCGTTCCAAGTGTCCCGCCGGATGTGGGAGAAGAACCGCGACATGGGGTTCCTGGAAGGCCGATTGAAGGAGTGGACCTACCCGATGCAGGTCCGCAATGCGAAAGACTCACGCGAGGCGGCCTGGGAATTCGATGCCACCAAGGTTGCGATTCCGGGCACGCTCAGCGACCAATCTTCATCTCTCTACTCGTCGGAACGAGATTTCCTTTAGACTATTTGCATGGGCGGTGTTTCGGTTGGTTTGGGTTCCGGGTCTATGGGATGGATGGGTTTGGTTACGAGAATACGAACTGGGATACATTGCATCGATACAATTGTTGTCAAAAAGAACGCTAGGCTTGAAGTGTTGGCGGGGCTATGGGTTTTCTTAGTCTCGGCCGCACCATTTTGATTTTTTTTTCTATCTGCCTGGCACTTTCTTTCGTGGCTACTATTAATTTTTTTTCCCCCTCATATATACTAATCTCGCTTATACACCATGACACTTTCGGGTTCTGCTTCTATGGGGATATATTCATCTATTGACCAAGGCACAATCTATTTCTTCATCTATTCTGCCAGGTTTCCGGGAAAGAAGTGGAAAAAGATTCCCCACCAAATCCCGAGCGGTATCCGCAACGGTTTCCGCTCCCGGCGGCCGTTCTCGGAGATTAATCTATTTTCATTTTCATTTTCTTTTTCTTTTTCATTTTCATTTTCATTTTTTTTTTTTTGCGCTCCTCTTCTCCCCCTGGTCCATCGTCCAACGGATGAAATCGATAGCTCCCGATAGCGCACCCGCTAACCCTTTCTTGCTCAGTGCTCGGAAGCACTAAAGTGGTCTAGTTCCGGAGACCGTCATCCAGCATCGGGGCCGTCAATCTTTTCGCCGGGCCTCCGGCTATTGAGTCTCGTGCATGCAACAGCGAGATTTAGTGTTTCGAGATCGTGGGAAAAGGATGAGCATGGACTCCACTTGGAAGAGATGGCATGGATCCCACGGGGTTCTCCGAGAGACGAATAAAGAGTTTGGAGATCGAGCGATGGATTCGATCTCTACCTTCTTTTGTTGTGTTTATTCTGTGCATGCCCATGCCATCATTCTGTAGGATTTGATCCTGGTGCCTGGTAGGGTAGGAGTCGCTGACAAGGATGCAATGCATGCATCGTGGTGGTTGCCCTGATCAGCATAGTTGCTGCCTAGTTACTGGCAAGTTCAGTTAGCTGGTGGTAGTTCATTCAGGGAAGGTCATGGACTGGATCCCTGCTCTCCTAAGCATGCATGTCCATGAACCTGTCTTCCTCCAATCGGCGAGGGTGCAATACCCAGTTTGCTTACTGCATAGACCTAAGTATCACGCTCACGCCGTATGAGCCATGCAGTAAGCTTATCGAGTTATCCCGGAAACCCACGGAAAGGCTTTCTTCATTCCAAGGAATATCCAGGCTGTGATGGACTAGAGGGTAAATCTCTGCAACGTGGAAGTTTCCCGACCGTGCATTACAACCAAGCTCCCCGATATCAACCAAATCCGATTGAGTCTTCGAGTGGACGATTCACTTCCTCAATTCCACCAGCTGCATCCGTCCCTTTCCACACAAAGTCCTCTGTAGTCTGATTATACGGTCCACGAAACGGCGGTCTGAAGTCTTGAAAAGACAGACAACACCCAGTAGACACTAGATGAGACAGTGAGTTAATACCTAGTGCAACTACAGGGTGAATCCACAGCAACCCAGCCCCAGCCCCCAAACAGGAAAGAGAGCACAAGACCCGATCCGCGCTCTCCCCCACTCGCAACCTCAACCACCAAACGAAACCCCCGTACATCGGGTATCTTACCGAGCATACTACCAACTCCGTACAAGCCCTTCTAACCTTCGTAGGTAGTTGAGGGGGTGGGAGTCAAGGAATGAGGTAGACTCCACGATCCCCCAGCGTCATCACCAGATCCAGCACAGTAATCACAACCACCTCTGCCTAATCATACAACTTCTATGATGCATCCTTTGGTCAGAATCAAGACCTTGGTTTTAGTACCGATGAACTAGCCAGCCAGCTAGCGAAGGATCATCTCCCGTGCCCGACACCCGAACGCAAACTCAAATGTCAACTCAGTAAGTTAGCTCCCCAATTCGGAATCAATTTGTGTACATTACCTTAAGTGTCAAGCACAAAAGGATCCGAGGGGGATTCCGCACTATCGATCCTTCCATCCTGTGCCTCCGTAGCAAGCTCAAAAAGTCTCGATCTTGCGGTTGATCACGCTTCTCGAAGATTCCGGTTCTCCCCTGAAACTCAATCCTTGGTGGCGGTTCATAACCTTATTGTTGCGATAGTCTCGGAGATGGTTCGGGGGGGGGGGGGGGGGGGGGGGGGGGGGGGGGCTGAATGTCAGAATTGCTGTTTCTAGACTTGCTCAGTACAGCCGGATGGCACCTACGGAATCAAAGTCCAACTAAATGTAATTTGTAGGTCATGCATAGGTAAGAGAAAGTGGGTTAATTGCAATGTACAGTACTGTACTCTGTTGCAGTTGTCCGGGGAGATTTGATGATTAATCTCAGATCGGCCGGATTTATCCCGTTGTCTGAGTTTATTTTTCCATGAGCCTCAGATCATACCTGTAAAGAAAGTGGTGCAAGAGAGACGAAAGGCGGTGGGTCAAATGTCAGTGGTGAAAACAACAATCGCATCGCACCGAACCGAGTAGTTCATTCACAAGTACGACTGTGGAAATCCAAGACTGAACTAAGGTCTAGCCTCGGCTGTATCTTCCCTGTTCATTTGGCACTCATACACTGTACACAGTAACAGTGTACGGAATCTGTGAACGGTAATGGAAACTCAATCAACATGCCTGGGTAAGCTACCGGGAGTTAACGTTGATCAGCCCATGGATGCTCTTCCGGCCCAGCCCAGCCCTCCGAGCTAAAGTCCGGTTGCCGCGGGAAGGGAGCCTTAGGCCGCCGTCGCCGCAGCTCGCTTATCCATCCCCGGATCATGTGATGTCCTCCCGCGATGCGATGCGATGCGATGCGACGCAATCATGCGGTGGATTCGGGGTCGGAGATCGGATCTGGGTCTCCGGGAGTGGAGACGTACTTTTGCTCGTATCATCGTATGCGATTTGGTTTCCCGGGGGTTGCGTGTTTGATTGAACGGTTCGGATGGACTGGACGTGGAAGGATCGCGGGGTGGTACTTGCTGAGGTGCTCGGAATTGCGTGGGGGGTGGTATGATCGTGGGGTTAGGGCTGGCTTGAGTTGGGGGCTTCGGGGGGTTGAGCTTCGTTTCGTCTTTGGTCACACCCTTTGTTTCTTTTGAGAGTGCGTCTCGGGTGTGCTTAAGTGAAGCTTTTTGAGGAGGCTTCCCGGTGCGCAAAGCCGAGGCATCTTAGAGAAAAAAAAAAAGAGCAAAAGAAGAACCAAAAGAGAATGAATAGAGACAATTTTAGACAGAACTCAACTGTGGGTATGTCAAGGGGATATCAGTCCTGTGCTTGGAGCATGCGATACCGATGTGATGAACATAATGGCCGGAGGCAACGAGGGAAGCGACGAACATTGATATCCATGATAGGCCTTTGGGCAATGGACACCTATTCAGTGCAGAAGATGCTGTCTAAACTGAGAACAACCAGCCTCCCGAGTCACGGATATGGTGCACACCATACAGCATATACATGAGGACCACGAACGGCCGCGGAGCCGCAATTTCATATCTTTGCGAGAGACATGCCTTAATTCTTGATTATGGAGGGTTTCAGGTGTATATGGCCAATCAGATGAGTTCTCGGCTTCTTCAATAAGCATTTTCATATCTTGCTGCAATGGGGGGGCTGAGTTTTGTCGTCTTAGTTTAATGATTTCGAATTTGAATTGGATTGGGTTGGAATGGATGGATTATGCAGGTGTCGCAAGACCAAAATGGCGATGTTGCATATGTCAATTAAATCCACAAAACAGATCGAGTGTATGTTTTATTCCTTCCATGTCAGGCTGTTGAGCGAGTAGAGGCCGGGGCATACTAGCTTCAAGTCTTACACTGACTCTATATTACTTCTTCCCCAAGATTTGTGGTCGTAACACAGTAAATCCTTTATTCCTACAGAGAGAACATTGAGCATGTTTTTCCAAAGCTACACTAAAAGCCCTGGCTCAGGAAGAATAATAGCCTACAGTGATAAACGACACAAGAACGACCGAGACAAACATTAATCCTACCCCTACTTCACCAGCTTCAAGCACCGTCAGTAGTAGCACGCTCTTTCCCTTTCGACATGGCGTTCGATCTGAGCCGCGTGCGCCGCCGTCCCCGACCAGTGTCCTCTGGAGGATTTGGATACCGTTCCGTCATACTCAGCATGCGCTTGATGTTGTGGTAAAGCCGTGTGGTGGCGAATGGAACGGCGCCGTGCCCGTCGCGTCCTTCGTCCCGGGGGTGCGGTGCTAGCAGTATATCCCGGAATGCGGTGTCGCGAAACTCGCGCTGCTCGGTCATCTCGCAGAGACACACACTGAGCCCACTCGTGATGATACCATGGAAGGGCCGCAGGCGGCCCGTACAGCGTCGCTCGTCTTCCTGGCAGAGGGCCAAAAAGGTCTGCATCACCTCCAGGGCACCGTCCCGGTTTTGTTCCCATGCACGCCCGCGCCCTAGAATGCCGCAGTGCACGTGTGGCTCCAGGCCACTCAGCACAGCCAGATCACATCGGGCCTCGTAAATGTCCAGGCGGTTGTGAGTGTGTTGATAGTGGGTGATCTGGGGGTGGTGGTTGGGTGCCACGCGGAGGCGAGAGCGAGAGGGTGCTGGATTTGCAGCAGGGCGTGGTGGCGTGGGCGGTGGTGGCCGTAGCGGTGGGGGTGGCCGTAACGGCGGGGGTGGCTGACCGTCATTTTGCCTGCTGGGCCCTGCTGTTGCGGGCTCTGGATTTGGGGCCGCTGCGTTGGCGTCGGCGTTTGCAGTCCCAGTGACGGCTGCATCTTCACGATTTATCTCATTCACAATGCAATGAACCATGGCGACGACGGTGGGGTACGCGGACGGGCTCGCCGTGAGGGGCCCTTTGGTCGAGGCTGTGAAGAGCCCTGCAGCGTACACTGAACGTGAGAGCTCCCAGTCCGAGTTTGCGTAGTCGAAGCCGGAGAAAGCGGACGGAGCATTGAGCGAGTCCCGCACCACAGGGGGTATCTCTGCCCCTGCGTTCGCACGGTAAGAACTAGGATCGGCGTCGGTACTGCTGACCTCTAGCATTTCCAGGTAGTATTCGTGCCAGTCGGTGAGCTTGTCGACCGAATGGACTTTGCGGTCCTTTGTCACCAGTTCTTGGAACTCTTCCTTCTCGGCCGCGGCCAGCTCGCAGAAGCCTTGCACGAGAAGACCGTATCTCTTCCATGGCTCGTTCTTGCGATCGTCTGCGGTGGAGGTAGCATGGTCTACCTTGATGGGGGTCGTGTTGCCGGTTGTGCTGGAGCCGACGGTGATGGAACCGTTACGTCTGATGGAGTTGTTACGCCTCTGCATTTTGCTTGGATGGGTAAGGCTGGTAAATATTGGGTCAAGGCTGAATAAAGGGCGCTGAGCGGTAAGTGAGGGAGTTCGGTCTGGAATGTTGGGTAGAACGAGTGACGGTAGTATGGGAGAAAGCTGTCGATGATATCGAGAGAATGTGGGGGATAGTAGCTGAAATGATAGCGATGCAATAGACTAGAGTAGTGTGCAGAGAGTGAAAATGGTCAAGAGGCCGAAGAAGGGGGATTTGTAAACTCCAGCGCTTAGCTCTTCCTTCCTAAAGTTCAATTGTTGCACCCTTTCCCGGTTCATCAGTAATTGTATGTCTGCAATTGGAACAGAACAAGCAAGACCATGAGCGCTCTTTCTGTATCAAGCTGCTGTAGTCTGGTGCCAGGTGCCGCATTCCCCGTCTACAGACAACAGTGCATCTTGATCTGCAGATGTGGGTGTTAAAGTATCATAGTCATCCCGTCCTCCAATTGGCAAGACCTTGATTCAGTCTTAATAGAGAGAGAGAGAGAGGCGCTCGATCCATAACTCCAACACAATCTCTAGTCATACACAATTTACACCATATACAATCCACATTATACACCTTTTCCACAACACGCCACACCCCCCAGTCTAAGCAACCCCCACCCACCCGGCAAGCCTTACCCTCGCAACAGCAACAACCCCAGCCCCGACCAACGCACACACGCCCGCAAAGATAATAGCGGCCTCATAGCCGCCAAACCGATTGATCATGGCGCCCGTGATCGGCGTGCCCGTCAAACACGCCAGACTCAGCACCCCCAACGCCATCCCCAGATACGAGCCAATCACATTCGGCCGCGGGGCCGTCATGGCCAGCGTCGCCGTGAACAGCCCGATCACCGACCCCGAAAAGGACCCGAACAGCAGGGCGAAAACAATCATGCTCCCCCGGGAATCCACGGCCAGCCAGCAGAGGATCAGCACCCCGGAGACGGCCGACGCCAGGACCAGGCCGTTGAACCGGCCGAGGCGGTTGGCGAAGGCCCCCGTGAGGAGGCGGCCGGCGAAGGAACCGGCGTTCATGATGGAGACCAGGTAGTTGGAGAGGTCGATGTCCAGGTTGAGGATGGAGTGTGCGTAGTCCGGGACGTAGAAGAAGGGGGTGAAGAGGGCCCACATGATAAGGAACAGGCCGAGGACTTGCAGGGTGTAGGCGGGGTGGTGCCAGGCTTCCTTGAGGAAGGGAGCCCCGGTCCGGCGGGGCGGGGCGGGTGAGGAGACGCATGCGCAGGCTACGAGGCTGAGCGCTAGCATGAGGAAGCCGATGATCCGGACGGTCCAGCCGAATCCGAGCGGGGAGTCGTGGAGCATGCGGTTAAGTGCGATGGGGAGGACGACGCCTGCGAAGGAGGAGCCCGAGGAGGCGATCCCCATGGCTAGCGGGCGGCGTCGCAGGAAGTATTGGTTTACTGCTGTTAGGGTCGGGGTGTAAGTTAGGCCGTTCATCAGGCCGCCGAGGATGCCTTGGGCCAGGAGGAATTGGTAGTACTCCGTGCAGGGGCTGGTGAGCATGACCGAGAGGATGAAGAGGAGGGAGCATGGGATTAGGATAATCTGTTTGAAAAAGGGTGTTAGCTGTGTTGAGGGATTAGGGTTGGGTGCGGACGTACTCTAGGACCATAGCGATCCATCAACGGACCCGAGATGAGGCCTGCTGATAACATGAAGAAGGCTTGTAGAGAGCCGATCCAGGCGATGTTGGAGGCGCTTTCGTTCTTGAGGAATGTGCTTTGGTAGTATGCTTCGTAGATTCTGGGGCTCGGTTAACTCCGAAGCAGGGTTGACATGGGGGTGCTGGGCATACCCAAAGGCATTGATGTAACCGAATGTGTTGAACATCACACACCAGCATGACAGAACCGCTAGCCACGCTTTTATGCCTCCTTCAGGGAAGGTCGGGTTCTTGGGAGGGCTCGTCTCTTCCTTCGGAGTGCTGTCCGAGGACATGCTATTCTTCTCAACGTCGGACATGATGACAGCAGACCTGACTTAGGGTGTAACCCACAAGATAGATAGAGATCGGATTATTTCATGCTATAACAAGGTAGGAAGAGGTCTGAGATACTACAATAGATATAATTTTTGTATGCCTTGTCGAGTCGGTGGAGTGGCTCGGGGATTTCCCGATTCGGACGCTAACTCCCTGACCCGAGTCGGGGCCGAACTGACCCTCCGAGCTTAATTCATATCGATCTGCTTCGGGTTTAGGGCAATCTGATAAGCATGCCCGGGGGTAGATCTGTATGCCTCCAGTTTTCTTTTCTTTTTTTTTTTTTTTTTTTTTTTTTTTTTAGAAAAAAGGGGCAATGTCTCATATCTCAGTCTTACTCAAGGAACGTAAGAACCACATTACTCTGGAACATAGCATCAGCAGAAGAACCACACATCGTCCCCGACCCAGATCAAGTACAATATTATAGTTCAACATATAGTACTATCAGGTGAGCAATCCAACTCCAATATGCTAGGTCTAGAAAAAATAAATCACAGACACAAAATAGCAATTTCCACAAACCGGCCCACCCCTACTCCAACACAACCCTAATCATATACCCATACAACGGTCCCGCCCCCTGCGTCAAGCTCCCATCGTCCTCCAACGCCACCATCACCACATCATCCGAGACACCCCTCCAATAATCGATGCAAGGCTTGGTGTCAGAAATCAAGGCGGCCGAGACCACCTCTCGGAACTTGACTTCGCGCAGCTATCCTCGACATCAGCTTCCCTCGTCTGGTAAAAACCTACAGTCGCTCGCGCCTGTGATCAGGAATCACAACACATACCCTCGAATTGCCCCACCCCTCCGACTTCGTCCAGTTCCCCTCCCCGTCGAACACCATGAGGTTCACCTCACTCAAGGAGACAAAATCCTTCCCCGCGAATTTGAGGTCTTCCATCAGTAGCTTCTCGGCGGGGTGGCCGCTGTGGAAGGCATAGCCTCTCCATCGGCTGCCAATGAGCTTTTCGGGGGCGATGGGCTGGAGCTTGTCGAAGGCGGCGACGATATCGGCGGATGTCACCTGCTTGGGATGCTTGGTTAGGGCCCAGAATTGGGATTCCGGGGTGCTGCGGTGGTTGGTTAGTGGGTGGGTGTCGTTGGGGGTTGGCGGGGTAGGTGCGTGCCTGTTTGTAGTTTGGGTGGAGTCTTTAGTCATGGTGATTGTGACGGAGTTGAGCTTTTGTGGTAGGGGATGATGATTGTTGTGTTCAGTGTTGCAGAGTATCAGTATAGATAGGTCACTTGGATCGTGGGCGCTGGGCTTGTTTGTACCAGAAGTGCTTTTCGAGGCGTCGCTGGTAGGATTTATATGGGGTGCGAGAATGGTAATGACGTTGCACTGTTCGAGCACTGACAGGGTTGTACTCCTGCAATCATGAAGCGTAAAGATTTCTTGTCTTGGCCAAGTGCATACATGCAAGGGGTGGAGCGGAATCCTTTCAGAGTGGTAGTTCCTTCCCGAAGCGCATGCACAGATACTCTATATGGCTCATGGCATGGCCAAGCACGTAGGCTCGTCAGATGCTGTAGTGCTCTGGACTGGAGTACAGCCTTCATGTATCACATATCCCGCTATGTAAGTTACACAATCACATCGAGTTCATCATCGCCACATACCCCGCCCGTCATCCTCACTGTCAGTATGACATAGTACTATGTAGAATCCACGAACCGCAAACATCGTGCAAAGCCAAGAATCCCCAAGGTGCATCTAATCATCTGCAAAGCCTGCAGAGCTTACCAAGACACCGACCACATCTCGAAAGCCCCCCCCCCATTCTCCACAAACCACCTCACACTCCTCTCCAACCCCTCCCGCACCCCAATCCTGGGAGAATACCCCAACACCCTCCTCGCCTTGCCCCCGTTCAACGTCCTGACCAACGTACTAAACCGAATCCCCTCCCTCGTCATATTCGCCTTTTTGGTCCCCCCGGAAACCACCCAAGCGACCCACTCATTCACAAACCCAATCGTCAACCCCACCCACTTGGGGATCACGACCACATCCTCCTTCCTGACCGGCCTGCCCACCAACCTGGACACCTCGCGCTGGAAATCCCAAAATAGCCAGGGCTCCTCATTGGTGATGTGGAAACACTCGCCGTCGACCTTTCTATCAGCGGGGGCGGGCTTCCCCCACGCGGCCAGCAGTGCCCGGGCGGCGAGGAGATGGGCGTCGGCGAGGTTGCCGACGTAGACGAAGTCGTAGAGGTTGCGGCCGTCGCCCATCTGGAAGCGCAGCTTGCCCTGGCGGGCGACGGCGTACATCTTGCCGAGGGTGCCGTGGTCGCGTTCGCCGAAGGCGAGGGCGGGGCGGATGGCGCACGTCAGGATGCCGTGGTCGTCGGCCCCGGCGGCGGAGGTGGGGGCGGCAGTGCGGTTGGCGGCCTGGATCGCGTCCTCGGCGTCCGCTTTGGCGATGCAGTAGAGGCGCTGCTGGGCGGGCGGGCGCAGGATGGGCAGGTCCTCGGCGGCGTTGACCAGGTCGGTGTGGTTGTCGTTGATGACGCCCGAGGTCGAGGTGTTGACGAGGGCGCGCACGGTGCCCACCGCCCAGGCGGCGGCGAGGAGGTGGTGCGTGCCGTCGACGATGATGCCCCGGTAGGCGGACTCGGGCTCGTCGGAGAACTCGGGCGAGGCGGTGTGGAAGATGGTCGCCGGGCGCGCCAGCTGCATGATGCGCTGCACGTCCGCCGCGCTCGCCATGTCGCCCTGGTGGTAGTGCACGTTCGCCCCCGCGTGGCGGTTACGCTGCGTGTTCACGTCGATGCAGTGGATGGTGCACTCCGGTTCACTCTCCAGGATCTTGGCGATGATGTGGTAGGCGATGAAGCCGTTGCCGCCGGTGACGAGGACGGGGCTGAGGGTGGTCATTTTTTTATGTTGAAGTTAGGGGTAAGGGAGAGAGGGGGATGGGAGGTTGAGTGGGGGAAGGTTTGAGTTTAGGAGTAGGGAGCTGAGGGGGAAAGGGGAAAGTGCTTGTTTTTATTGTGGAGGAGCACGAGCACGTTCACGTTCACAAAGAAACGCTGTACGCTAAGCAGCTGTCGGCTTAACTGGATTAAGAATAAGTGGAAGTGCACCACCTGCGGGATGTATACTGTATCCCTGCATGAGACACACCTATCAGGGGGCTACGATACGACCCTTGTCGTTTGCCTCATCTTACTTAACTTTACTACACTTAAATCCCGGTGGAAGTTAGTTAGTTTGTTAGCATGTGCTTACTCAGCCCTAATTACTGTCCCAATCAATCGCCTCTATCACACAAGACCCCGGTTGACCATAAGAGACTATGTAGGTACCTAGTATATTCTAAACGTAGCAGTATCTTGACTCCCACTTCTCCGCATGAGCAACCAGCTAAACCGGATTATCCGTCAAAAACTCCAGCTCCTGCGAGTCCATCCGCCCGTCCCCCTTGCCATTCTTCAGCCGTTCCCAATTCTGGGTCCCCGGCCGCCGTTTACTGGACAGGTGGCTCCGCACCGCGGCGTCCCCCGTCTCGCTGACCTTGGGCGTCTCCCGGCTGCCGCTTTGGAGTAGGGAGACGGCCGAGTTGTAGAAGGAGGAGGTGAGGGAGCGGAGACGCGCGAAGCACATGGGGAAGGAGGTAGCGCAGGCGACGATGATGGCGATGTTCATCTCGACGATCCTGCATGAGACCGGAATTAGCTCCCTAGCCTTCTTCACTTTCTCGGAGTCCACTGATCCAGATGGGGGGGGGGGGGGGGGACGTACGTAAACTGAGCATTCCGCCCCGTCGTCCAAAACACATCCGAGCTATCATTCAGCTGGAAATTCACCAGCCGCGCCAGACTAGCCGCGCAGGCTCTGTCCGGTACATCCAACATTCAGTCAGCGCTCAAACTCAACATCATGACTATGTGGGGCGCACTTACCCAAGCCCACTCATAAACGTCACCAGCAGCCCGATCCGCCGCCGCCGACTGACCTGCAGCTTCAGCAGCCGCGGGATGGGCAGCAGCAGCACGTAGAAGTCCGTCACCACGTTGATCACCGACTGGATCGTGATCATCGTCCCGGAGGTGAACTTGCAGTAAGGGGCCTCCAGCTGCGACAGCTCCGCGCACTGCACCAGGCTGCCGATGGCGACGGCAATACAGAACGTGTAGAGCACCGCGTCGGCCACGATGCCGATCCAGACGGCGACGATCTCGCGGTGCAGCGGGAACACGCGCTTATACAGCAACAGAATCGAGATCTTGGCGAAGCAGACCGTCCATGGGAAGGTGATGCCGCCTGCGTCGAGGACCTGTGGTTTTTAATTAGATTTTTGTGTTCTTTTGAGGTGGGGGAAGACGTACGCGGGTCGAGGAGGGATCGATGAGGTTGATGGCTCGCACGTCCCACATGTGTCGTCCGATGCCTAGGGGTAGGGCTGTCGTGCACGGGCTGTTTAGCTTAGGGCTACGGTTGGAATATGACTTGGTGGCAGTGGGGAAGTCTCACTCTGCGTGTAGAGCGTCATGTGCGCGATCGAGCCGCACTGTGTGACTTAGCATCCTGCACTGGGCGATTGCGATAGCGATATCCGGTCAAATCGACTTACTGCCGCAAGGATGCAGGTTGCTACATGTTTTGTCGTTCTTAGCAAAGTCCCATATCTAGCCATGTGGGGCAGAGCCTGAGGGGATACCCACTGTCTTCGGCGCCCCAGAATTTGATGATACTTGTTCGCACCCAGACGCGGGCGGACACCGCCAGTAGCGCCAGAAACAGGAAAATCGACTGCAGCACGATGATCGTCGTCCGCTGGGATGGCGGGTTGACGAAGTTGGGGACCACCCCGGGCGGCGGGGCGGCGGCTGGCGTGTTGTAATAATCCATGGCCAGAGCACTGGAACGGGTTGCTCAGCAGAGCAGCAGACCTTACGGTCTGAAGGGAAGGGCTCTTGGATTTTTAAAGACCATCTCCCTCTCATCAGACATCGTCGTGACAGCTGAAGGATTGAGGAAGGGTGGGGGGCGAGCCAGATCAGCACGGGCGAAAAGCACACCAAGCTCGACGAACCGTGCGGTCGTCATGCAAGCCAGCCTCTGTCGAATCCATCATGGGCCGGAACTTGCGATAAAACTGCACAGTGCACCAGAGAATCTAGGAGGCCTGATGGAGGGTAGATGCTGACCGTTGGGGTCCAAAAACTTCGCCAGCCGACTAAATTCAGGCTGTTTTGCTGACATGCAAGGCTTGGGGTGAGTTGTGAGGCTTAGGCTTAATATACAATACAGTACTCAGCTGCATGGCCAGCGAATGACTCTCGTGCCAAGAGCGTGGCTGCAGGAAGAACCCCTCAGTGCGGCATCCCTCTAATCACCATGAGGTGCATTCCTGCACCTTGCCACGAGCGAACCAGTCAGCGAATCTCGGTCTCAGATGCCAGTTTTATTTTCTTCAATCTTCCTACAGGGCTTCTCGCGGGGACATTACCCGTTCTGTCCCGCCCTCTGCGGTGCTTGTTGCTCCGGCAGTTGAGAGCCCCGCTTATCTTCAGCCACCTTATGCTATTTTCCTGGCCCAACCTCCTCCCCGCTGGACCGGGAAGAATGATAATAAACTCACGCAATACCATAGTACACTCGAACAATGCGCTCTAAGCATCTCCGAAAATAGATAGCACCAGTGGAAATTTTCTATGCTCAACCAACAAACAAGCTGATCATTATTTCTCCTCGTGCAATAACCCGTCCTCTTTGGGCGCAATCACGACCCGCACATCCCCGCCTTTCACAGGCCCGCCGGGCCCCGACGAGACCGGGGTGAACCCTACCGCCGGAACGCCGTCCAGCGCCCGCACAACGTGGAAGCGATGCACCACCAGCGCAACAAACGTCAGCGACAGTCGCTTGCTCAGATACCGCCCCACACATTTGTGCTTCCCCGCGCCAAACGGCAGGAAACTCTTACTCTGGGCCAGACCCGGGTGGTCGAGGAACCGCTCCGGCAGGAAGCGGTCCCAGTCCCGGCCGAGCACGGGGTGCGACATGGCGAGCTGGCGGTAGGGCACGAGCAGGTGCGCGCCGGCTTGGAAGGTCCGGCCGTTGACGGTGAGGGGCTTCTCGACGCTGCGCGCGGAGCTGGAGTTCATGGTCAGTCGCTGGGTCTCGTTGTAGAGGGCGGAGAGGAGGGGGTTCTGCTCGAGGCGCAGGGCGAGGGCGGCCAGCGGTTCGTTGGCGGCGGTGCTCTGCGCGAAGAGGGTGGCGACTTCGGTGGTGACTCTTTGCAGACGGGTCTGGTTGGTGCAGATGTGCGCGAGGAGCCAGAAGGGGAGTTTGAAGACGTTTGCGTTGGAGCTGAGGGGGGGTTAGCTCTGTAAGAGGAAAGAGGATAACAAGATGGTTGAGGGAAACTTGCCCCCACAGGACCATCAGCAGATACGACGCCATATCATCCTCACTCAGTCCGCGGCGCCGCATCTCCATGATCGAGTTTCTGACAGCCCAGGATTGCTCCTGCTGGCTCGAGGGAGGCAGACGCATGTAGTCCACCAAGCAGCGCAGCACCCTCGCTCTGGCCACGCGGACCTCCTTGCCGCATGGTCGAGGTAGTTTGAATAACAGGATCCACAGGTCGCTCTCCAAACACACAAGGTCCTCGACGATGTATGGTGAGAGCTCCCAGATGGCATTTCCAAAGTAAGCCGTCGTGACGGCGTGGATGATCGCCGTTTGCGCCCACCTGTACAGCGAGACCGTTCGCTCCCGCCCATCTTCGGAGCTATGAAGAAGAGTCGGTGCTTCGAGTCGATCCCATCGCATATGGGACTCAAGGACCTCCAAGGACCGAGCAAGGATCTCCGGGCTTAAAGACTTTTCAAGGAGCTGTTTCCTCATAAGCTCCTCTGCGACCAGAACCAACGGCGGGGCCTTGGGTTCGGAATCGTGATCCATCTCCGAGATCCCCGATTCCGAACAGCCAAGGCCCATGAGAAGGTTTTTCAAGTGCTCCGTATGTGTCAGCTGGGGTGGTTCCCTAAGCACGGCGGTGGCATCTTGTTCAGACAGGACGAAGTAGATTTTCTGGCCGAAGACATTGATGGCAATTGGTTCTCCACTGCCCTTGCAATCCTTGCTACGATGCCACAATCACTTAGGTAATGCTAAGTACAATGCCAAGCTTGGAATGGACAACTCACATCGCGGATGATAGTAATGCATGGGGGCTCCTTAGCATGGGGACTGCATGGCCTTTTTCGCCGAGTCATTAGCGCCGTCAAGAAAGGGTCCGAGCGAACCAACCGTACCAACAACTATTTCCCTTGGTCAGCAATCGAGGAAGCGGCCATTCTGTCATGTTCAGCACTCACTCGGAATCAGATAGGGAACCTCGCGCGGCGAGTCAGGGTTGAGCAACGGGCGAACGGTGAACCGCCATAGGCGCCAGATCACGAGAAGGACGACACCACCTCCGACCAGATGGGACAGGCCCAATTGATCCTGGATAAACCCAAAATCGGTAAGTACAGACAGCATGATGTAGATGGTACTGAGACAGATGTAAAAGGTAGGAGGGTGAGGATACATACCCCTCCTAATTCCCTTAAAGGAGTACCCTTATATCGAGCAGCCGGTTTTCCTGATAAGGATGCACGCTACTGCTGCGCTATCACATTGCGACTTACGTCCTTGGCGCTGCAGACCAGGATAGGGATTTGAAAGTACATACTACCTAGGTCGTCAACCCAACGGCGCAGCCGGTAACTCCGTCTCCTCTCTCTTTGGCCACGTCGAGCTGGCCGCGCACCACGATAACACAGCCAATATACGCGGACTATTCCGCCGCCACGGGCGAGAGCGACTAGCCTTATCTTTTTTGACATAAAAGCCTGCTTGTGATGCGGCTGAGGAACCATAGGGGCCCGTCCAAATATAGTGATCACGAGAGAGTGGCCGTTTCTGGTGTTATTGCTTGGCGCCAATCAAGATGTTCGATGTTCTGCCATGTGCGTGCATCTCCCCACGATCGCGAATGAGAATAAAACCCCCCGAGCGGGGTAGTCCAGCACTTACTTAAGTTAAATCCTGAGCCTCGTATTTTCTGCACGTTGGAATTTAGCGTAGGGTGCCTTAAGCGCTTACCAGAGCCAGTGAGCCATTGACTTCCCGACCCCTGCAGAACGTGCTGGCCCCGTGCCAAACTTGGCATTGATTCCGGACGGGAGGATGATAGCTTGGCCACGGTTCACTTTGCTCCTATCCATCTAGGACTTTGCATTCATAAGCGTGGTATTCGCTACTCGTACTTTTTTTGGAGCTGGAAATAATCAGAGGCGTATACCCCGCAGTAGCGACGGCCGTTATCAGGCCACGGTTCACGACGAATGATAGATAGTGAGTGAGCAGTAGCGGAGGTGGCGTTGCCTGCTTCTTTTGTAATCGTAAGTACTGTACCTTTCGCGGGGTGGTGCGTCTTTCCCTCCTCGTGATTTTGTAGCTGTGCACAGTTGACTAGGAGTGGGCATGCTGTTCTCGATAATAATGACGAAGATGGGAGTTGCTTCTCTCGGGAGCGTACTGCTCCTCCTGCTCTGCTGCTGGTTGTGTGTTCACAGATTAAGAGCCAAGTCCGAGTCCCAAGAATCGGTACTGTGCATCGGTCGCCGACGACGAGAGAGGAAAATCGCTAATCCCATTCCTTAGATACGTCATAATGTTGTTCTTGTCGAGCCTTCCAGCTATATCCTCAGGGTCGTTGACCAGCTTCAATACCTTTTGAAGGGGCCGGAGATTGTGCAGAAGGCACACGTAAGTGGTTGATCTCAGAGGAAACGGCGCAGGAAATGCTAAGACTGCGATGCGCAGATCAAAAATAGTCCCTATGCCGTGCGCACACCAGAAGGATATCAAGTCCAGTTCTCCTCCAGGGAGCACATCAAGCAATTGGTGCAGGCGCCAGACACGTACCTGTCCCTACATGCTCTGGCGAAAGATGTACGTCGCTGTCCGACTTTCTTCCTTGCTTTTGTGTTGATCAAGCCTCCTCTTTCTAATTCTCATCTCAACAAGAACAGATGTTCCAGCCCAAGTATACCATGAACGGCCTCGAATACGACGACTGCATGAGCGCCAACGGGACCGTCCACCAGCGAGCCCTGCAAGCGGAGCTGCGATCCCACCTGCCAGCCCTAACCCAGCCGTTGCACGACTGCATAGTCCAAGCGCTCGCCGCAGAGATCACAGCCCACAAGCCCCAGTCCGGAGAATGGCGCGCAGTGCCAATCTTCCCGATGGCCAAGCGCCTGATTACCGCCGCCAACGCCCTGGTCTTCTTCGGGCCCGAGGTCTCAAGCGACCAGGTCTTCCTCGACGCCGCGCTCGAGTACCCCGAACACCTCATGGAAACCGCCGAAGCGCTGCGCCTGCTCCCCGCGTGGGTCGCGCCCTTTGCAGCGCCATATCTAATGCGCCGCCACCGAGCGCTGAAGATCCTGCTCGACCGCCTCACCCCCGTCGTCGAGGCGCGAATCCGCAAAACCAGCACCACCACCACCACCACCACTGCCCCGGAACATGCAGACTGCATCCAATTCTTCGTCAACGCGGCCGCGCGCAAGAACCAGCAACACGAATGGCCGGCCCAGCGCATCATCCAGGTCCTGCTAGGCGTGTGGTTCGCCTCCGTCCACCAACCAGCCATGTGTCTCTTCTATGCCCTAGACGACCTCTGCCTGCATCCCGAGTTCACGTCTGCACTACGCGACGAGGTCGTCCACGCCGCTATGCCCCAACCAACCACCATCACCACTACCACCACCACCACCCAACAATCAGAAATCAACCCCAACCACCTCCCCCTCCTCACCAGCTTCCTCAAAGAATCCGCCCGCCTGCACCCAACCGATTCCATCTCCCTGCGCCGCAAAGTCCTCCAACCATTCACCTTGGCCGACGGAACCACCCTCGCAAAGAACGACGTCGCCTGCATCCCGCTGCAGCCCATCCTCCGCGACCCAGATCTCTACGCCGATCCGCACACCTTCAACCCTTACCGCTTCATCATCCCCCAAGATCCCGAGAAGGTCAACGAAGGTACCCGGAACCCGACGACACGAACAACATCCTCCGATTTCACAGACGCAGACGTCACCTTCCCCATCTGGGGGCTGGGCAAACGCGCCTGTCCCGGACGGTATTATGCATCGTTGCTTCTGAAGCTGGTGCTCGCGCAGATCCTGCTGCGGTATGAGGTTAAGATGGTGGAGACGGCCAAAGACGAGCGAAGGTATTTCTACTGGCGCTCGGCGATTGTGCCCAAGGCTGGGGCGGGGTTGTTGTTTCGGGAGAGGGGGGTACGGGCTTTGGCTGGGGTTTGTTAGGTAGTTCGTTAGTTCTGATGGAGGGGGG